AATCCCCCCACCTTGAGCACTGATGTCACTGTGATTTTGTCTTTTTTAAACACTGCACCGCTCAGCTCAGTTACCAAGAGACTTTAGATGCACGAGCTCACATTTTACTGCCAATTGCTTTAAAAGATGCAAAACTTTTGATTGATTTAATCAGCATCATTGTCAGTGACTATCTCACCTGGATCACTTCATTTAGAGGCCCCAGCTCGATCTCTGTGGTGTTCAGCCTTGTCCCCTGCCTTCCCTCCCATGAGGAGGTTGCAGGGGAGGTACCTACTGATAAACCTTCCAGGGCCATGGTCCTCTCACTGAGTCCAAAGGAATCTGGGATGGCAGCAATTTCCCCAAATAACATATAAAATCCCTCTGGATAGTCTAGGAAGTAGGTCTCTGTAGTGAATTCAGTTCTGGTTCTGATTACAGAGGAAAGGGACAAAGAAGCCGCATTGGGATTAGGAAAGAAAACTGTAAGGAGAACTTCTTCCTCCGTTGTCCCATGCTAAAGTGGGATGCAGTGGTGGGGGATCTGCTATTCCGTTTCTGCCTCTCATGAGAGACAAGATTTCAGTTTTCTTGAAAGAGTGGATGGCCAACTGTGTGAGCACTTGAATGCATGACAGGAACATTTGGCCCAAGGAGTGGCTCTTGATTTTGTGTCTGGTGATTCTGTTTTCTCTTGCTCCCCTGACAGGGGACCTGGACTTTAATCGCTGTGATTTACTGGGATTCTGATGGGTTTTCTGGATTCTGCCACTAGGTGGCAACATCTGCATGTAGTTGTTTGCTCTGTTCCTCTTTTGGTCCCTAGAGACGTCAGCTGTTTTTTCTTATGATTCCACCACAAGGTGGCACCCCCTGTGATTGCTGTTGGTACCTCTGCTCTCCAGGATAGGGCATTTCCAGTCATATCAACTCACTGCTGAAGTCACAAACTCCTCCTCCCCTGCTTGTATTCTCACTTGCTCCCTGTCCTAATTCTCACTTGTTTCCAGGGGAGCTGTAGAAGATCTCATGCCTCTTCCTCTCTTCATTGCCAGGGTTACTGGATTTGTCTACTTAGACCAGTCACATAAACATTCTCCTAACAAGATCACCAACTCTAAATCCTCACGACGTCAGTGAATGCTAAAGAATTTCTCCCAGGGGTTTGGGGAGGAATGCAGGGGATGCTTGCTCTGAAACTGTGAGACTGACAGGCCCTGTGACATGGGATGGCCATTTACTGGACCCTGGACCCAGCTCCGGCAAAGGCAGTTTGACTCAGTGACACAGGACCCAGGGTACCCTGATCAATTCCCTTATATTGATAAACGACTGACTCTTGTTTTTGTTTGTTTGTTTTTGTTTTTCTGACTCTTGTTTAAAACCCATCTTTAGCTTGGCTTAAGGGTTGTGATTCTGGAGATTATTCTGATGTTTAGGTTTCTAAAAAAACTCCTGTCACCAGCCTCCAGCCACGTGTCCTGCTCCCTTCCTAGGCTGAGACCTTCTGTTGGATTCCCTCCACCCTGCCTACAGCCCATCTTCCTCTTCCACATCTCCCCACCGCTTTCAGACTCATCTCCACCCCTTTCCTAATAAGCCCCAAGCCCTATGCTCTCCTGGAGTCCATCCTCCCAACCACAGCCCCACCCAGGATGCAAGAAGAGCAGAGGCAAGAAATTCCTTTTGTCCTCAGCAGTTGCTTTGGATGCTGAAAAGCTACCGACTTTTGAGTCAACTTGTTCATGTTAATTCCAACTGCGACAATAAGGCCACACCACAATTTGGGCCAAATTTGAAGCAAACTTGATTTTTTTATTGAGGTAGCATCCAAGTGTTGGGGTTTAAAGGGTACAACCCCAAATCCATCTCTTGAGCCCCTTTTAAGGAGTAAAATCACAAATCATTTTACAGAAGACAGGGACAGTGGGACAATAAGGAAACACAAGGGGGAAAAAAATCTTTAAAAAAAAAAACATGTGAGGGCTGGAGAGATGGCTCAGCGGGTTAAGGGCACTACTTGCTATTCCAGAGGTCCTGAGTTCAGTTCCCGGCAACCACATGGTGGCTCACAACCATCTGTAAAGACGTGTGGTGCCCTCTTCTGGCCAGCAGACATGCACACAGACAGAATATTGTATACATAATAAATAAATTTAAAAAAAAAAACATGTGGTCACCATGCTGTTAGGGAAGGTTAGGGAGGTTCAGGGAGGGTAAGAGTATTCTCAGAAACAAGTCAGGGTTTTAGGCTGAGGAAAGTCAGCTTCCAGGAAACAGAGAGCAAAACAAACTTCTTTTGACAACACAGCATCATGGCTTCTGTCAGTGCGAGAGGCCAGCCTTTGATGTGTGCTGAAACTGAGGGAGAACTCTAGTCCTCAAATGAGTCAGGAGAGTTACTGTATGGGCACAGGCCATACCTCAGGGATAGCGGCCCCAAAGCGGAACTGAGTTCTCACTCAAGCCCTACACTGGTGAAGGGACAGACGAGTAAACATTCATATGGACAGCAGGTGTGCTTTGCTCCCCTTCATACCCAAGCCATGAATCACGAGGAGAGAGGACTACTGACTGCTGAGGGGAAGACTTTAAAACAAGGAGGTAATTGTGGCTCTGGTTTGGCTCCCTAAAGAGGTGACTGTTACAGATTACAAGAGGCATCAAGCAGCCAACAAGGAACAAGCCCCCAAAAAACAGAGAGCAGATTGGGCAGCCTGCCAAGCCAGAGAGATGCCTGCAGAGCCCATTCCATCCAGCCCATTGCCTTTCTTCATTCATAGCTCCATCCCCAACTCACTGACTCCCAGTAGGAAGAGGATAAGGCCCTCTCCCAAACTGCAACACAAGAGTCAACGGAATAGTGGAGCTTGCTGTGCTGTAAGGAGAGCGGTGGGGGGGGGGGGGGGCGAAGGGCCCTTTGCTGGTCCCGGCCGTCCGGCTAGCTTACACCTGAAATAACCACACAGAAATTGTATTAATTATATCACTTCCTGGCCCATTATCTCTAGCCTCTTATTGGCTAACTCTCACATTATGATTTAACCCATTTCTAATAATCTGTGTTCACCACGAGGTCGTGGCTTACTGGGAAAGATTCAGCGTGTCTGATTCTGTCAGCTCCGTGGCAGCTCTCCCTGACCCTGCTTTTTTCCTCCCAGAATTCAGTTCTGTCTTCTCTGCCTACCTAAGTTCTGCCCTATCAGGCCAAAGCAGTTTCTTTATTAATTAACTAATGAAAGCAACACACAAACAGAAGGACCTCCTACACCATTGCTGGACTTGAGTGTTGTTTTTAAAAAAAAAAAATATGCAGCGGGTCCTAGGCACAGAGACTCGCAGGTTCCCAGGAGAGCCACCCAAGCGGGCAGATGTGAGCCCATTGTGTCTGGAGCCGCTAGCAGGTCCCCAGTGCAGAACCCCAGAGCGTCTCTGCTGGGCTGGTGGCTGTATACAGGCAGTCCCAAAGCAGAGACGGCTGCCGGTCTCAGAGCGGTGATGGCGGGCCGTGCAGCCGGGGGAGCCAAGCGGTGGTGGGTTCCCAACAGCAGGTGGGCGCGTGTAAACAGACACATAGACACAGAAAATAGGCATAAACATTTATTAAAGGAGAGAGGGAGAGAGAGAGAGAGAGAGAGAGAGAGAGAGAGAGAGAGAGAGAGAGAGAGAGAGAGAGAGAGAGAGAGAGGTGCACACCAGAAAGGGGACGGTAAGAAGAGAGTTTCCAGAGTGGTCAGAGGTCACTGGGAGTGGGTGTGGCTTGTCCCTTAAAGGCACAAGCGACCAAGGAATAACAGAGAGCATCCTCACTGTTGCCCTCAGATGCCTTGTGGTACATCGACTGCCTAGACCACACACTGGATGCCACCAGACTGACTAAGGTCTTATCTTCCAGGTTCCAGATTATGTCTCTCTGAGCGGTGGCTGCTCAGGCTGCCTCTCAAAGTCTCTCCTGCACTGAGGTCAACCCAAGAAGGCAAGAGACAAACAGGTCCCCTCTGTCCATCTGAAGAGAGTAGCCAATGATAAGAAATGGAAATTTGACTTCCCAGAGATGAAGCCTCCTCACATCAGATGTAGTGTGTAGATGTATCCATTAGTATGTGTTGGTATCTTCTCAGAATGGATAGAAGCCTTTGCTACTCAGGGGGACACTGCTCTGACAGTGAACAAGACTCTTTTAGATAAAAATATTTCTAGGTACAGACTGCCCCTGTCAATCATAATAAGGTAATGGGTTTGCTTTCTCTTTATCCATAGCTTAAATGGTCAGTAATGCCTTAAATGTAACCTGGAAATTGTGCCTACTGACCTCAGAGCTCAGGACAGGGTCCAAGGTAGAACTGAACTATTAAGTCAGCCTTCTCTAAATTAATTATGAAAACCAGTGAAAATTGGTCCAACCTTTCACTCCTGACCCTGCTTAGGGTGAATTGTACCGCCCACAAGACAGCATTTACCCCATGAGAATGCCTTTGAAAGACACCTGTGGGGTTCCTGCTAACACCTCCACCAGCAGAGGGTTGATCCACAGGAAGCAAGAAGGAAGCCCAGTTTAACCAGACTCAGTGGGCAGTATTGGTTCAGACTTTGAAAGTCTGACCCCAGGTAGTTTATTTTGGCCATTTCTAACTACCACACAATTGGGAAAATGGCTCCTGGTGGATATTAACTCAGTCCCATGTACACAGCAAAGCTTAATACAACAAAGCTCATTTCAAGAACAAGTGACATTTTCCATAAAGATTGGTTTTAGGGGATTAACTGAGGGCACAAGCTCAAGATAAGAGACTGGAGGAGAATCCTGTTGTGATTGACTGAGATAAACAAGATCAAGATAAGGATCTGGGATAGCTGTTGTGATCTGACCATACAAATAACACAGAGGTCACCAGACTATTAACCCCATCTCTTTCCAGCCTTCTGGGCAGAAAACAGGTTATACATCTCTCTTGACAGAAAAGACGATTCTGTGTGTTTAATGGTCCCCATCCCCCAGACAGCATTTCTCCTTAAAGTTCTAGCTGTCCTGGAGCTCAGTCTGAAGATCAGGCAATAGCAAAGCCATTCTCTTCACTCCCTGGAAGTTGTGACCTGAGTCATAAAAGGTAGGACCTGGGAGTTATTGGTTTATGGACAACTGCTGCCCAAAGACAGGGAGGAGCCCAGAAGTGGTGTGAGGTGGTCACAGCTGGTTGATAGGGTGAGCAAGGGTCTGTTAGTGGTGAGAGTTGGGTGTGGTCTTATTATAAATGTCTGGATTCTGGTATAGTCTGACAAGGCACCAGCTGAAGACATGGACTTTACACTGCTTCTGTCTTTTCTGGTACTATTGTCTACGGTTGCGAAGGCCACAACTGCCGGTGAGTGAGATGAAGGGTCTGCGGGGAGTTGGGTGGGAGCTCAGGACAACAGCATGCTTCCAGGGACAAGGCAGCCATAACAACACACATGGCCACATTTTTTTTAACCTTCTTTCTTTCTGATCTAAAGCAGGATTTCAAACCATAGCACACCCTATAGAACCTGCCATAATCCCTCTCTCCCTCAGTCTTCCGAATCCCTGATTAGATTTGTCCCTCCAAGCTCAGCCTTGATTCCCATGTGGTTCATATCTACCAACCTGTTCCCCCTCCATAGGCATCCAGCTTTCCCCGCTTTACCACCCATAAAGTAATTTACCCCATCTTCCACCAGGTGGCAATTTGATGTGGGATTCCCCTCTGAATGCTGTAAATACCATTAGTCAATAAAGAACTGTCTTGGGCCTGCACAGGGCAGAATAGAGGTAGGCAGGGAAAACTAAAGTAAATGCTGGGGGAAAGAAGGCAGAGTCAGAGAGATGTCATGTAGCCCCGCTGGAGACAGACACTGGACAGAACTTTACCTGGTAAGCCACAGCCATGTGGCGATAAGCATATTAAATTAAGATGTAAGAGCTAGCCAGTGAGAGGTTAGAGCTAATAGGCCAAGCACAGATTCAAATGATAAAGTTTCTGGGTGATTATTTCAGGGTTGAGCAGCTGAAAACAAACTAATAGCCCTCCGCCAACAAATTGGTGAAATTCCCTAAGTGATTGTTTATAAATGTTTGTTTACATTTAAAAGGGGATATGCTATAAAGAATTGCATTGGTATGAATCTTGCTCTATTGATACAAGTTTTAGGTCAATTTTGTTATACTGTATATATGTATTTCTGCTCTTGATAAAGGTATTGTGTTTATGTAGCTCATTTAAAACTGTAATGTATAATCAAGTAATACAGGTCAATAGATTATCATCTTAACAAAACAATATATTTTATGAACAATGTGTTCATTACCAAGAAAAACTATTTTTATTAGATTAAAAAAAATACCAACCCAAGTTCCCACTCACTCCCCTCCTCACAGTCCCTCCATATACCCTCCTACCCCACCCTCATCCAATCCTCAGAGAGGGCAAGGCACACTGTCGAAGGCCCTCGCCACTATATCCAGGCCAGGCAAGGCAACCATCCAAAGAGAATAGGTTCCCCAAAACCCAGAAGGGATTAATTCTGGCGCCACTGCCAGTGGCCCCTCAGTCTGCCCCAGCCATGCAACTGCCAACCACATTCAGAGGGACCAGTTTGGTCCCATTCTTGGTTCTTCCCAGTCTAGCTGGAGTTGGTGAGCTCCCACTAGCTCAGGCAGACTGTTTCAGTGGGTGAACCCATCATGGTCTTGACCTCTTTGCTCACATTCTCATTCCTCTCACTCTTCAACTGAACCTCGGGAGCTCAGTCCCGTGCACCGATGTGGGTCTCTGCCTCTGTTTCTATCAGTTGCTGGATGAAGGTTCTATGGTGATATTTAAGATATTCGTCAGTTTAACTACAGGGCAAGTCAAGATTGGGCCCCCTCTCCTTTATTGCTTAGGGTCCTAGCTCGGGTCATCCTTATGTATTCCTGGGAATTTCTCTAGAGCCAGGTTTCTGTTAACCCTATAGTGGCTCCCTTGATCAAGATATCTCCTTCCTTGCTCTCGTCTCTGTCCTTCCTCCATCTTGACTATCCCATTCCCTCAAGTTTTCCTCGACTCTTTCATTCTCCCCTCTTCTTCCCCTTCCACCCTTCCTTCTACCTCCACCCCCATGCTCCCAATTTTGTCAGGCAATCTTCTCTATTTCCCCCTTTCCAGATGGATCTATATATGTTTTACTTTGGGCTCACTTTATTGCTTAACTTCTCTAGGATCATGAACTATAGGCTCAATATCCTTTGTTTATCGCTAGTATCCACTTATGAGTGAGTACATACCATATTCATCTTTTGGGTCTGGGTTACCTCACTCATGAAAGTGTTTTCTAATTCCATCCATTTGCATACAAAATTCAAGATGTCATTGTTTTACCACTGAGTAGTACTCCAATGTGTAAATGTGCCAAATTTTCTTTATCCATTCTTCGGTTGAGGGGCATCTATATTGTTTCCACATTCTGGCTATTACAAATAATGCTGCTATGAACATAGTTGAACAAATACCATTGTAGTATGATTGAGCATCATTTGTATATATGCCCAAAAGTAGAATTGCTGAATCCTGAGAAAGGTTGACTCCCAATTTTCTGAGAGCCACCATACTGATTTCCAAAGTGGTTGTACAAGTTTGCGTTCCCACCAGCAATGGATGAGTGTTCCTCTTACTCCACATCCTCTCCAATATAAGCCATTATTGGTGTTTTTGATCTTAGCCATTTCTGACATTTGAGATAAGATGGTATCTCAAAGTTGTTTTGATTTGTATTTCCCTAATGGCTAAGGATGTTGAACATTTCCTTAAGTATCTTTTGGCCAGTTGAGATTCTTCTCTTGAGAATTCTCTGTTCAGTTCTATACGCCATGTTTAATTGTGTTATTTAAAATTTTGATGTCTAATTTCTTGAGTTCTTTATATATTTGGGGGATCAATCCTTTGTCTGATGTGGGGTTGGTGAAGATCTTTTTCCATTCAGTAGACTGCTTTTTTGTCTTATTGACTGTGTCCTTTGCTTTACAGAAGCATCTCAGTTTCAGGAAGTCCCATTTATTTATTGTTGCTCTTAGTGTCTGTGATATTGGGGTTATATTTAGGAAGTGTTCTCCTGAGCCCATGCATTGAAGACTACTACCTACTTTTTCTTCTATCAGGTTCAGTGTACTTGCATTTATATTTAGGTCTTTAATCCATTTGGACTTGAGTTTTGTGCATGGGGATAGATATGAATCTATTTTCATTCTTCTACATGTTAACATCCAGTTACGCCAGCACCATTTGTTGAAGATACTTTCTTTTTTCCATTGTATAATCTTAGCTTCTTTGTCAAAAATCAGGTGTTCATAGGTATATGGATTAATATCAGGGTCTTCTTTCTATTCGATTCCATTGGTCAATGTCTCTGTTTTTATGCCAATACCAAGCTGTTTTCCTTACTGTAGCTCTGTAGTAGAGCTTGATATCACAGATGGTGATGCCTCCAGAAGTTCCTTATTATACAGAATTGTTTTGGCTATTCTGGTTTGGTTTGGTTTTGTTTGCTTTTCCATATGAAGTTGATTATTTTTCTTTCAGTGTCTGTGAAGAATTATGTTGGGATTTTGATAGGGATTGCACTGAATTTGTAGATTGCTTTTGGTAGGACTGCCATTTTTACTATGTTGACCCTACCTATCCAAGAGCATGGGAGATCTTTCCATTTTCTGGTACCTTCTTCAATTTCTTTCTTCAAAGACTTAAAGTTCTTGTCAAATAGGTCTTTCACTTCCTTGGTTAGTGTTACCCCAAGATATTTTATGCTATTTGTGGCTATTGTGAAAGGTGATATTTCTCTAATTTCCCACTCAGCTTCTTTATCATTTGTGTATAGGAGGGCTACTGGTGTAGGAGATCCTTCTGTTTGTGTTGCTTTCATTGGCTAATCAATAAAGAAACTTCTTGTCCTGATAGGACAAAACTTAGGTAGGCAGAGAAGACAAAACTAAATTCTGGGAGGAAAAAAGCAGAGACGGAGAGCCACCACAGAGACAGAGACGCCAGGTTAAACATACTAAATCTTTCCCGGTAAGCCACACCTCATGGTGACATACAGATTATTAGATATGGGTTAAATCAAGATGTGAGAGTTAGTCAATAATAGCCTAGAGATAATGAGCTAAGCAGTAATTTAATTAAAACAATTTCTGTGGGTTATTTCGGGTGTAAGCTAGCTGGGCTGCCAGGATGAGAAGCAGGCCCTCTCTCCTCTTATAGGCTACTGATTTTTTTTTTGAGTTGATCTTGTATCCTGCCAATCATTGAAGGTATTTATCAACTGTAGGAGTTCTATGGTAGAGTTTTTGAGGTCACTTATTGCCACAGGCAAAGACTGTCCCTGAGCCCCTGCTCCTTATCCCTAACCTCACTGCATGTTTCCTTCACAGATGCTGCTTCTCTTTGCTACAGCTTCACTGTTGGCAAGTCAGGGTCTGGACCATGGAGGCACAAAGTCCAAGGCCAACTGAACGAAGAGACTTTTCTTTCATACAGCAGCAGCAGCAACTGCCAAGCCATTGGTGCTTGGGGGAACCGACTGAATGCCACAAAGATCTGTGACAAACAGGTTGATACTCTGAAAGATGGAGTTGACCTGCTCAAAGAACAAGCGGTTCACATGAAGCGGGAGAAGAAGACATTCAGAGGTAAGCTTCAAATGGCCCCATATTCTTGGGGTAGAGTGCTTGCCTGGCATGCATGAGGCCATGGGTCAATCTGCACTGCCACAAACTAAATAAAAGAACATATCAGATGTGCCCCTGAAGGAAAGAACAGGATTTGTGACAGGTTAGGGACATTCATTGTTTTCATGGAGGAAAAGAATGAATCACTGGTAGTCAAACCTAAGAGGTCCTGCAGCAAGGCTGTGGGGTAGAGCAAGGTCAGAGAATGAGAAGAGAGGGGAAGGGACAGGATTCATCAAGAGCAATGGCTGATCTCTTTCCAATGGGCACAGAGCCCCTCTCTCTGCAGGCCAGGCTGTGTTGTTGGCATGAAGGAGATGGACATTTCAATGGATCCTGGGACTTTGACCTCAATGGACACAAAATGGTTCATGTTGACTCAAGCACTGGAAAGTGGACTGAAGTTGATCCTGGATCCAGGTGGATGAAGGAGATGTGGGAAAAAAACAAGGATTTAACAGACTTCTTATCCAGGACCTCACAGGGGGACTGCAGGGCCTGGTTTAAGGAGATGATGAAGTCACTCTTGGAAGAAAAGCTGGAGCCTACAGGTAACTGGGAAGAAGGGGCAGAAACTCACTGCAGATTAGTGTGTGTGTGTGTGTGTGTGTGTGTGTGTGTGTGTGTGTGTAGTAATCTAATCACCATGAGTCCTTGGGTTAGTGGTCATTTTTTTCCGTCATTTATTTCATTTCTCTCCCTCTCCTATCTCATTAATTGTGGATACATGGTTCTCTCACTGCGGTTCTCGCTGGCTGTCACAGTCTGAGCACCTTGTATTTCCTGGCCTTTTCCTCATTCTGCACTCACTGTTGCTTTTCATCTCAGCTGATCTGTCTTCTTCCCTGGCACCATCCTCACGGGTCATCTCATGCCTCCTATCCTGCCAGAGGAAAGATGAGGCTCCATTATTATCCTGCTTCTCCTACCAAAGCTGCCTGAGTCTCATGAGGTCACGGAACATGCCGTCTCTTCCTTCCTACTCAGGATCCACCTAAACAGTTGTTACATAGCAATGGGGGTGGAACTCTGTGTGTTGCTGAATTGCTAGAGAACCCAGAAGCTATGGTGAGATTTCCTCAGCTTTGAGGTCTCCTCAAAGACTCAACTTGTGTTTCTACTTCAGCCTCAACAACCACTACTCCACATGTGGACCAGCCTTTGTCCCTGGCCATCAAGCCCAACATCTCTGTCCCACTGATAATCCTCCGCTACTCCCTTCTTCTGTGGTCTCTGAGGAGAATCATTGACAGTTAAGGTACTGAGGGCCGTGCTGGGAGTGGGTGAGACAAAGGTGGGCGAGGGGTGGGGAAGCAGGAACGAATTCCTGAAGACATGATGCTGACCCTCATCTATAGCATCTTATTGGGAAAGGAGGCAGGAGATCTGGAGTTCATGTCACCTGCTAGCAATAGCGTGTGCACGCTCACCCTTGACAGGACAGGAATCATGTCACAGAGCAAGTGTGGAATGAGAAGGGAACACAGCAGGTGCCTGATCAGAGCAGGTTCCTAATCAATAGGGTCCCATGATGCAGATGTGGAAACATTTGGAACATAAATGAAGAATGTGTTAGCTCTACTCAATGTATAGGGAGAAGAAGATTCTGTACAACAGATAGATACAAAAAGATATAAATAAAGAGATGGTACAATGGCAAGACCACTTCCTGTTTGTGTCAGACTTGGGTTTCAGTCCCAGCACCCACATGGTAACTATACAGCTCTGGATCCAGGAGATCCAGCCCCTTCTTCTCCACAGACACCATGCATTCACACAGTGCACTTACAGGCATGCAAGCTTATGCTCACACACATGAACTCACAATGAATAGAGCAGCGGCCTCCAGAACCCCCGAGCAGTGTCCCCACTGCAGGCCGGAGGATTGAGCTGCTGCTGGAGTCTGCTCCCATCTGGGCTGCTCAGATGACAAGGTGGGGCTGAGACAGTCACATCCACACCTGTGTGTGTCACTCTAAGGCTGAGAAAGAATGGAGAAGAAGGCTGGATAGGGGATGCCATGACTCCTCCAGCCCCTCCCATCATGCCCCGAGTCAGGAAGCAGAGCTAGTCATCACCACTTCATTCTGATCTCCAGGTCTGCAGCAGGGTCTGGGGCTCTGGGACATGGGAAAGAAGGAGGAAGACAGTAGGGGATCCAGGATGGAGAGCCCAGGGGTGATGGAGGAGGGAACTGAATGACCCTCAGTGAGGGTGGCTGTGGGGTGGTGATGACTGGTACAGGGCACCCAGGAGAACTGACCCAGGTGTCTCCTCAGACCCTTCAATAGATGTGTTTCCTTGCTGCAGGTTGAAGATGCTCCAGAGAAGTCATGAGAGTTCCTCTGGTGTCACCATTCTCCCTTTCCATCAGCCTCCACCAGATGAATCATGATGCTGCGGACACAGCATTTCATGGTCTTCACTCTTTGCAGTTGCTTGGGCTCTTTCGTATCACCCTGTACTGTTTCCTTGGGGCTCCCTGGTTGAATTTGCCCATAACATGGAACTACTTGAACTAGGGATCTGAAAATGGACATGGTTGTGTGCACATCCTTAGCATATGAAACAGGACAGCCAGATCTCCTTAGTGAAAATGTGAACTTTTTACTCTTGTATATCTAGGTCAATATGAGACAGACTAGAAAGGCCCCACCTCTGCTAAGGTATTTGCTTGGAAGTTAAATTCTGTCAAAAATATTGATTTTTGTAATAGATATTTATTATAACCACACCTTACTAGGCAGCCATCTCTAGAACAAAAAAAAGTCTTTTATTTTTAAATGTCTGTATATAATATAGTCATAAGAGAAAATGTAATATTTTATAATATCATTACTATTATCGGTTAGTCATACACTAGGTAGCCTAGCAATGCCCACATGCACAGTGAGAACAGAGAACCCAGAAGCTGCTCAGTCCGACAGGCTGGCTGTCCCTGCAGTGACAATCTGGCAGTGAAAGGCAGAAGGTCCTGGGAGCTGGTGCTGTTGGGTCCACATCCTCCTGGTGCAGGTCTGGGTCAGCGCTGCTCTCCACTGTGTCAGAGAAGCTTCTTCTGCACATCCAGACCTGGGATGGAAGGAGAGTGAACTCACACTAGTTTCCTCTGACTGTGCAGGGACACTGTGCACAAGTGCACTAGCACTCACACACACACACGTGACACATACACACAACAGTGACAACATAAGGACTTGAAAATATGGAGAGATCACTACTGAAAACATGTATTTGAGGTAGGGCATAACTATGTAGCACAACATGGGATGGAACTCACTATGTGGACCAGGCTGACCTGGAACTTGGAGATCTTCCTGCCTCTACATCCCAAGCATTGTGCTTAAAGGTGTGTGCACAACACCTGACTGATTCTTGGGTTTTGAGCTCTTATGTTGTGCTACTAACGTAACACTAAGGTAAGATGTACTATTTCTCCCTAATTAATTTGTAACTCTAGTGGCATTAAGTAGACTGGCCATACTCAGGTATATCAGGCATCACTAAAGGAAACCTGTAACAGCTAATCTTAGAAAAGAGAAATTGAGGTCTATTTGTTTAGTTGAAGTCACTGGTAATGTCTGTCCTTTGTTTTCATTACTGGAAGCCATCTGATTGCTGTGTTGGCATCTTTAAAAATGCCATCTTTCTATTCAGATGTTTGTGAACTTTCTTCTTGTGATTGCTTTGCATGTGTTCCTGTTTCTACAAATGTGTATATGACAGCTTTGTGTGACTTTTATATAAAACTTTCAGAGAATTCTCTTGTAATTATTTTACTTCTCAAAGTTTGTGGCAATGGCTATTTCATTTGTAATAAAATAGCTGTAATATTCTCTTTGTTCTTTGTCAATCTGTATAAAGACCTGTCAAATTCAGTATTCATTATTTTGGTCTAGGGGGTGTTGGAAGTGGAGACAGGGTTTCTCTATGTAGCCTGGACTCTGTTCATCTGAGGGGACTAACCCTGCCAAGAAATGGAGGTTTGACTTCACAGAAATCAAGCATCTCACACCCAAGTTTAAGTATCTGTGTGTGTTGACACCTTCTCAACTGGACAGAAGCCTTTGCTACTCAGAGGGGACACTGCTCTGACAGTGACCAAGACCCTTTTACATAAGATCATTCTAGGTTCGGACTGCCCTTGTCAATTGGATCAGATGGTGGACCTGCCTTCTCTTGTCCATAGCTTAAATGGTCAGTAACGCCTTAACGTCACCTGGAAATTGTGCCTACTGACTTCAGAGCTCAAAACGGGTCCAAGACAGTACTGGGCTCTTAAGTCAGCCTTCTCTAACTTAATTTTGGAAACTAGTGAAAACTAGTCCAACCTTTCACTCCTGACCCTGCTGGCAGTGAGATGTTCCACCCACAAGGCAGCACCCACTCCATGAGATTGCTTTTGAAAGACACCCGTGGGGTCCCTGCTCACACCTCCACCAGCAGAGGGTTGATCCACAAGAAGCAAAAAGGAAGCCCTGTTTAACCTGACTCAGTGGCCAGTGTTGGTTCAGACTTTGAAAGTCTGACACCAGGTATTTTATTTTAGACATATTTAAGCATAGAAAATAGGGGGGAAAATGTTCCCTAGTGACTATTAACTCCATCTCTGTGCACAGCAGAGCTTAAAACAGGACTACATGGAAACTCTTCTGAAGTGCAAGTGACATCTTCCATAAGGATAGGATCTACAGATTATCTGAGGATACAACTCAAGATAAGGGTCTGGGGGAGGATCCTGCTGTGATTGACTGAGATAAACAAGATCAAGATATGGATCTGGGGTAGCTGTTGTGGTCTGACCATACAGATAACACAGAGGTCACCAGACTATTAACCCCATCTGCCCCAGCCTTCTGGGCAGAAAACAGGCTATACATCTCTCTTTGAAGAGATGACCCTGTGCATTTAGTATTCCTGATTTCCCTAGTATTCATCAGTGAGCACAAGGATCTACATGCCTCCTGTACCTCTCACCTCCCTAGACAGCCTTGACTGTCCTGGAACTCTATCCATAGACCAGGCTGACTTCAATTTCAAAAAGGTCTACCTAACTCTGCCTCCCCAGTGCTGGTATTAAAGGCAAGTGCCACCACCACAGGGCCCCTTTTAAATTTTGTTTCATTATTTATTTTGTTTTTTTTTTCCAGACAGGATTTGTGTATTCTTGAATGTCCCAGAACTAGCTTTGTAGACCATGCTGGCCTCAAACTCCCAGAGAGTCTGACCAATTATGTCAGACCAAGGGTAAGCACAAAACTAATAAACAACGCCTAGATTGTAAGATTTTAAGTTTAAAACTGAGGGGATGATGGCCAAATTGTTGTGAAGTAATAATATATTCTAAGTAATAATATATTCTAAGCAATTGTAGTGTGATTGTTTTGTATGTTACATGAATCTATGTTCAAATTTTGCTCTGTTAATCTTGTTTCCCATGAAAGTTAAGCACTCACATAAGTACTGATTTATGAGCAGGAGAGAAGAATGTCATCCACACAACAAATGACCAATACCTCGAGAAATTTAACCAGCACCGACTGAAGTGCTTAAGTACAGAATAGTGATCTATTGGGAGGCTAGCTTTCATCCCCTAGGGTAGAATTTTCCAGAGGTATTGGGACTGTGGGAGTCAGCCATGATAAGCTAAGTATGGGCAGGTTCTTTACTTCCAACCATTATCACCAGCCAGAGTAGGACTCAGCCGGCCATCCATAAATTTAATAAGAGGCCTGAGTCTCAGTAATTTACCCTGAAGCAATACCTGGTTACAGGAAGAACCACAAGCCGAGATTACCCAACCACCACTCAAGAACAGACCATTCAAAGGAAATGCCTAATATTCCAACTGCTGTAGATAGGATCACCTGCCAACACACACTCACCAGGACACCCCCAGAGAAATGTCAGCCAATCAGGTGTCCTGAACCTCAAAAAACCCTCACCCCCACCTTTACTACAATAAAAACCCAATTCTAACTGAGCTCGGGGCTCTCATGTTTATTCCAAAACGTTAAACATGAGGAGAGAACAAATTTGCAAACTTGCTTAAAATAAAGGCTCTTTGCTATAACATACAGGACTCTGACTCTTTGTTGGCTTTTGGGGGACTTCATGGATTTGGCCATAACAGGGACATTGGCTGTTGATTGTTTAAAGTAGGAATAGAGAATGGAAAAAAAATGTTCCCTTTCAGGATGTAAAGGAAGAGAGGAAAGGCAGTCTTTATCAAGTATAGTAATGTAATGTTGGTGAGGAATCACAGTAGAAGCAGGGAGGCCTGATTGGAGGGTCCCCGCTGTTTGCATAGTCACATTTATGCACCTATGATCATGTAAAATTCTAAATTTATTCTTTGTCTTATGAATTGTAGAAATGGAGGAGTTCAAGTGCAGGTGCACGCTTTTAATTCCAGCACTCCAGAGACAGAGTACGCAAATCTCTGAGTTCAAGGTCAGCCTGGTCTAGAATGAGTTCCAGGAGACAACCAGGATTACACAGAGAAAACGTGTCTCTGAAGAAGGGGAAAGGGGGCTGGAGAGATGGCTCAGAGGTTAAGAGCACTGACTGCTCTTCCAAAGGTCCTGATTTCAGTTCCCAAAAACCACATGGTGGCTCACAACCATCTGTAATGAGATCTGGTGCCCTCTTCTGACCTGCAGGCATGGAGGCTGAACACTGTGTACATAAAAAATAAATCTTAAAAGGGGGGGGGGGTAACAAAAACAAAAAACAAAAAGCAACAACAACAAAAAATATTCTGGGGAAGTTCAAAGGACCATCCGAAAGTGCTTTATCCCCTATTTACAATTTTTTTTTTGTCCTAGAAGTTGGGCCGGTTTTAATTTTTCCCCAAGAGGAGGTCAGTGATCAGAGGGGAGGTGGGAGTGTGGAGAAAAACCTAAGTGCTGGGGTAGGCTAGCCCTAGGGGTCAGACAGTGGAGGAGACATCTCCCCACCCCCCACCCTCCCAGACCGCAGTAGCTGAGACAGTCCTGACAATCGGGGAGTGCAGCCCTGAAGAAGGGCGCCCTAGGGAACCTGATAGCTCCTTCTCCAGGTGGGGGTACGAATAGGGAGCCTTGGAACTTTGAGCTTCCTCCTGATTGATCAGCATCTGAAGGGGAGGAGCCCAGAAGGAATGAGATTCATAGGCTAGGCAGAGTGGGAGTGGTGCGTGGTGAGTAAAGAGCGGGTCCTGTATATGTTATGCTGATTCGGGCTTTCTGCCTAGACAGCAGCTGAAGACACTGACTTTTAAAAAAAAAAAAAAAAAAAGATTTTTTTTTTATTTTACATACCAACCCCAGTTTCCATTTCCTCCCCTTCTGCCCCCCTCAACTTCCACCCATCCCACCCCCATCTACTCCTTAGAAGGAGTAAGGCCTTCCTTGGGGAGTCAACAAAGTCTAGTATACCAAGTCGAGGCAGGGCCAGGCCCGCTGCATCAAGGAAGAGCAAGGTATCCCAGCATAGGGAATCGGCTCCAAAAAGCCGGTTCATGCAAAGGGATAAGTCATGGTCCCACTGGCCCCTCAAGCAGTTCAAGTCACACAACTGTCACCCACATTCAGAGGACCTACTTCAGTCGTATGCAGGTTCCTCAGCTGTCAGTCCAGAGTCCCTGAGCTCCTAGTAGCCCAGATCAGCTGTCTCTGTGGATTTCCACATTATAATCTTGAACCCTCACTTGCTTTATGAAGTCACAGATTTTATTCTGTCTCTGCCTTTCCTGATTCTGTTGCCTAGGGTCCCAGGGTGAGTGAGATGAAGACACCCCGGCTGTGGGAGCCCAGGACAACGGTGCCCTCCATGCCTCAAAGGAGCAAGGCAATGAGCTGGCAAGTCAGAAACCTCCAGAGACCAGAGCCACAGTGCTCCCTGGCACAGTGTGATGAAATCGCAGTGCTCAGGGAGGGAGGAGCAGAGGCCCTAGAGGGACCCCAAAGAGATCTAGGAAAATAGGGGAATTCCGTGTGTCTGGAGGACCGGGAGGCCTGAATTCATAATCCAGACACCCGGAACTTTGCGAATCTTTGCGGGGGGGGGGGGGGGGGGAGGTGTCTTCAGGGCGATACTGAGGACTCCCCCATTCTCTCCGCAGCGCAGCTCCAGTCACACCTGTTGGGTGCCGGGCCTCAGGAAGGAAACATGGCAAAGGCTGCAGCCACCAGACGCAATCTTTCCCTGGTTCTGTGCCTTTTTGTTGTACTGAGCTGTCTGGGGTCCAAGCTGCTCACCGGTGAGTTACCCAGACATAAATGGAGGGGTGAGGGAGGTGAGCATTGGGCTACAGAGTCAGGAAGATAAGTCTCCTCGGGGGAAGCTCCAGGGCTTCTTTCTCTTCACTACCACAGGAATTTAAGTCTCTGCTCCCTGGTCCTTGCAGCGTCCCTCCCACATCCTCACAGGTGAAATGACAAAGTTAGGGGAAAGTCACTGTGGCAGGGCCAGAAGGGGCTATGTGAATGAGAAAGGCACAGCAGCAAAGGGGAGCAGCTAGTGAGGCCCTCAGCACCACTGGAGTCCACTGAGGGCTAAGGGAGTCACCAGTGAGGAGCCCTCCAGGAGGCGGTGTCAGACAGCTGCCCTGGACCTAAGGCAGTCTATGCTCTGAAGACTGCCTTCCCGCTTCCCGGGGTTCCTCACAAGCCCCCCACCATTCGGGAACCTCTTTGTTCTTTCTTTCACACCTTCTCACCACCCCCCCATTTTTTAAATCAAAAGATCACGATAGTTGCAGCCTTGGACAAGACAGCTACAACCACACTCGTTGGTAGTTATTTTCTTTCTTTTTTCTTTACCTTCTTTCTTTCTCATGTTGTTTTAAGGTGG